CCACTTGTCAAAGGAGAGGAGAGGAGCATTCCTACTATGCCCAGTGCTTTTCATTCTCCTTCATTCATGGTCTACAGTCCTTTGTGGGGCACCTGCGGAGTACTGAGCGCTGCAGCAGGAGGAGCAGACCACAGTGAACCAGTAAACCCACCGACTGCCCTCCGGGAGCTCCCAGTCAGCACCGCAGCGAAGAGCCTGTGCTGCCCAGTCTCTGTGCGCCCACTGCAGGCCCACCTTGCTCCCAGGTCAACAGCTGGAGGAAAGACTTGGGTGCACAGAGAACAAGAGAAAGACCAAATGTTTATATTTTAATTCCCGGGCTAATAAAAAAAACAAAAACATACAATGCCCCAAAGAGCTCAGATACCAGTGCAGTGTATGTGACAGAGGACCTGTAGCCAGCAGTACATTCCCAGGATAGGATGTGAGGCCCTAAAGGGGGTGGGGGTGGGAGTGGGGGGCTGGACTGAGGATGTGAGAAGTCCTGGCTAAGGGAACAAGAAAAGGGAAAAGAGAGGATCTATCTGATTCCTCCCCACCCAGGAGCACGGGTTGAAGCATTTCTGTTAGAAAGTGCACCTGTCATGTTTCCTTGCAGGAAGCATTTTTGGGCCATTACCTGGGCCAGAGTTCTGTGTTACCAAGTGGAATACACCACTGCTCAGCCTTCTGAATTCCTCCCCTCTGCAGTGAAGGAGAGCCTGGCCCAGCCTCCTGCCCCTCAGCCATGCCAGAGTACAGTGCCCCCAGCAGATCTTGGGGAGACACCACAGTTTTTTGAAAATGTTTAAAAAAAGAAACCCAATAATAACTGGGAGGCAAAACTAGGAGAACTTTTCTCTTCAGAGCTGTGCAAATGGAGACCACTTAATGTGATCTGCAGGGCATTTTTCTTTCTTTTTTTTTAATCCTCACCCGAGGACATTTTTGCATTTTATCTTCAGATAAAGCAGGAGGGAGAAAGGGAGGAAGAGAGAGAAACATAGATGTGTCTGAGACACATCGAGTAGTTGCCACCCACATGACCCCTCGGGGACAAACTGCAAGTGAGGTACCTGCCTTTAGCTGGAACCAAACCTGGGTCCTTCTGGTCCACGAGCCCACGTTTTGACCGCTGAGCCAAACCGGCCAGGGCAAGCAGGGCAGTTTTCAAAAGTTTTCTGCCTCATACTTCAACCTGTCATACACTGATTTAGGGCCTGAAACATCACTTTTCAAACTGAGTCACAACCCATTAGTGGGATGTGAAATCACATGGGTTTGGCTTATATTTTTAATGAAACAGAATAAAATTACACAGCATCAAACAGGAAATATTATAGTACATTTTTGGTAATAAAAATAAACATTGTTTTATGAAACTAGTATCCATTTCACAGACATACTGTTTCCATTTTATACACACCTACGTCTCCCTATTTTAATCTATTTGGTTCTTAAGCAATAACACATATAGCAAGGGATCCTATATCATTATGCTTCAATTGGGTTGCCATATAAATGTTGTTTTTTTAATTGAGAAACAGGTTGTAGGGGATGGAGGGATTGGAAGTCACTAGCCTAAAGAAACAATAGTTAAGTGGTCTGAAAATTTTTAAAGAATGGATTCCAAAATAATATAACATTCTTCTTCTTTTATCCTATTTATCTTTTATTTGGTTTCTCTAGATATGTGTGTGGATGTGTGAACACATCTAGTTTTATTATAAACATTTTTTTTCAATTACATACAACAAACAGAAACAAACTGTGGGAAATAACTGAAAACAACACAATATAAAACATGGATTTGGGTGCACAGGGCCAAATCCCCACCACAGAGCAGGGCAGGCCAAATCCTGCCCTCCTTCTGCCAAACCACTGGACAGAGTCTGGCCCAGACCAGGATCCCTTCTTCCTTGGCAAAGCCATTAAAATGCCAATCTCTCAAATCACTGGGCAAAGGACCAACTGCTCTCTAAGATACGGAGCCCTGAATAGGATCATGGCCAATTCATATTTTTAAGTAGAATTGAATTTGTTGGTGTATCATGATTTTTTGCAAACTTTTGGGCAAATTGTATAAATGAAGCAGTATTTTCAAATGTAAGTTTTGAAAAATTTTATCAGTCGCCCTGATACTCTACTCTTAAATAATCCTTATCACCCCCCACTTCCACCCCTCACCTTTATCCTGAAAAAATAAATAAAAAAGCTATCACATCTGCTTTGGTCTAAATGGCTACATGTAGATCATTGCTGCCATCACCATCCAGGGTCTTCAACTGGTTAGAGCCTTGGGAATTTAGCTCCCCGAAATGTCTAAACACATGGTTACATGTACAATCCTCTTGAATTTAGGAGTCCCTGACTTACAACAGATAATTGTAATGGAAGGACTACTCATAAATTCACTTACTCTAGTGGGAATTGTCTATGCCCTGAAACTAAACCACACTGGCACCACACAACATTTGGAGCATTGTTCTCTTAGCGTCTTAATGATGAATGTGCTACTAATGAATTAAATGTCTCTGCCTTATGCCCTGGCTGATTTGGCTCAGCAGTTAGAGCGTTGGCACTTGAACCGAACAGTGGTGGGTTAGATTCTGACCAGGGGCACGGACCTCGGTTGTGGTTTGTCCCTGGTCCTTGTTGGGGTGCTGGAAGCAACCAGTCAATGTCTCTTTCACCTCTCTCTCTCTCTCTCTGTCTCTTTTTCTTCCTCCCTCCCATTCTATCTGAAGATAAATGGAAAAATAACCTCGGGTGAAGATTAAAAAGAAAGTATGTCTGCCTTAGACTCAGGTAGATTTGGTCCACGGCAGAGTAAAGAGTAAAGACTGCAACCAGTTGTTTCAACTTTATCACTAATGCAGGAAGGAAGAGGACTTTTGTCACTCAGTCAATACCTACGACTATAATTGTGTTGCATTCTCTGGCTTTATCTATTCTTTGTAATTATATCTGTAACACAGGTTGGTTTTGGTTTTAGTTTATTTATTTTTTTTAAATTTGACTGTGAAGTGATAATATTCTTCAAAGTCTCAACAAAATGGAGTAAGCATGCCTGTCACCAATCCTGCCATCTCCAGAGAACTTACTTAATACATGACTGATGCAAAACAGCAAAAGTAAGAATTTTTAGTTTTTTTTCAAAATACTTTAATCCTGTGATTTTCAAAGTATTCAAACAAGTAGGTAGCAGAGCACGAATCTTAACGCTATATAATTGATTTCATCTGTCCTCCAAAATGTATTGCAAAGTATGCACTTTAAAAAAATAATAACTTCAAATTCCTTAGTTTTTTTTTTTCCCTAAGGAAGTCTACCAGTCCATATATATGTACAACTGGCAGTTTATTTACTTTCTAACCACTTTCCCACTCCTCAAATTAAGTAAATTGTTTTAGTTTCCTGATGGAGAAGCTTATTCATAAAGATGAACATGTGCAGATGATAAATCAGAGCCAGTGGGAGGCATCTGGGGCAAAGGTTACTCAGACAACAGTTGGAGTCCGTGGTGGGACACAGCCCCTGCAGCACCAGCAGGCGCTTCCTCTACTAGGTGGCAGTTTCTAAAACACCAAGTAAACAATTTTAACATTATCTCTTTGATCAGACGTTTACACCGCTCCACTGCAGCTCATCATACAATACAAGTAGGTTTCGAGCCTAGGAAGGAGACATCTCATTTTCAGCTTACTAGTGAATGCCTACAACAGCATATCTTCACATGACCATTGAAGAACTGGATCAGATCAGGATGTTTATGTATACATGACTCAGTGCTTAAATATTTGAAACATTTATAAGAGTGACAAACTACTACATTTTCATTCAGTTCTGCCTTTCTTATACACCTTCTGTACTCCATGAGTCATTTATAGTAGTGAGACACTGGGGGAGGGGTGACTCTTACACCTTCCCTCTAAGTACCAGCATCTAGAATCCTGCACTGTGGTCTCCTATGGCCTAAAAAAGAAGGGCTGTTAGCTAAATTCTTTACAGCAAAAAGAGAATGAAGAATGGAATTGCAAAGAAGCACTAAGAACAGCCACTTCCACCGTCAACAGTTGAAATTAAGTCTTCAGATTCCCTATCATAAAGGGCCTGGATCTAAAATGAGTGTTGAATTCTCCTTAGCTATGGATAACAGAAAGAAAAGAAAAGGGGGAAAGTAATTTTCAGTGGATAGTAATATGAGAACATAGGGCATCGTTCACAGGGCAGAACTCCTACCTGTTCGGATCTTCAGACGAGGGATGAGGGATGAGGGACATTTCTGCAACCCCAGGGAGGCAGCTTTTTCATACATAATTTACATAAATCACTCCAGTACATGAAACTAGCCAGAGCAGCAGAACTCTTCTAATTACTGCCTGGACCCCGGTGCTGCTTTTCCTTTAAAGCCACACCAGTTCATTATTCTCCCGTCAACTCTTAAATGATTCATTCCCCCTTCACTCCGAGCAGACTTTGCAGGGAAGCTAGTATTTGAGTTTAATTTCTGTGCCACTTGCTTTGGAAAGCTTGCTGAGGGGAAGGAGGAAGGATCTAATTTTATAGATTAGATTAAATCTATTGATTTGGAGGGGCACCTTCGCCCCCACCCCCAAAATAGCTAGACAAACAGGACCCTCAGGCAAGCTATAATCCTATGCAAAGACACCCACCGGGAAAGCGGGGCCCACGTGCGGCGGGTGCTGTCACCCAAGGGAAGTGGCAGCCGGCGTGGAGGAGGGAGAGTCGGGCTGCTGTTCGCAGCTGCAACGGCCTGAGCGCTCAGGGGAAGAACCGATCCCCATCTGAATGGTGCTTCGTTCTCTCCTAGACACCAGGCAGGGAGAAATCTAAGGGCAGGGAGGCCGGCTTCCACAGCCTTGGGACCCGTCCCTGCGAAAGGGACAACCCCAGTGCGCGCCCGGGTTTCCCCAGAACCTGAGCCCGCGCGCTGGGCGCTGGGCTCCACCAGGTGAGGGTGCCCCTCGCGCGCCCCAGCCCGCCGCACCCAGTCTTACCGTCCCAGCTCCGACTCCACCTCGAAGAAATCGTTCAGAGCATCCCTGTTGGAGCCGTCGATCCAGTAATCCGGGACGAGGCTCCCGGCCCCCGGGGCCACACTGGCGGTGACCGAACTGCAGGACGAGGCCGAGCACGAGGGCACCGTGACTTTGAGCATCTTCGCGGCGGGACTCCGGAAGCCGCCACCGCTGTCGCCGCCGCCGCCGGAGCGAGAAGCCCCGCCGCTCTGCCGGCGCTGCGAACGCAGGAGCGAGAGGGGGTGTCCTTCACCCCCACGCACACGCCCACCGCCGCCGCCCCCGGCGCCCTCGCCGCCCCGGCTCGGTCCTTTTCCGCACGCTCGGGAGGGAGGGTGGGCGAGCGGAGAAGGGGGCGAGGAACTGGGAGAGGATCTGGAGGGAGAACTCGAGTCGCCGCCAGCGGAGAGAGAAGAGGCTGGTGCACTGCGAAGGAGAGAGATTCCCTCCCCCTTTGCTCCTTCCCTCCCCCCTTCCCCTCCGGAGCCTTTCCAGCCCCCCTCCCTTTTTCCTTTCTCCCTCGCAGGCAGTGGCTGCGGCGGTGCGGGCTAGGGCGGCTCCGGATGCAGGAGCTTGGGGAAGCACAAGGACCAGAGCATCATCCCACGCGCCCTCCTGCGGGAGCAGGGAGCCCGGAAAGGACTCCGCGCAGTGGGACGCTCGCTCCGGGAGTGGCGGGCGCCCAGCACGCTCTAGGAGCACATGGATCGGGGTGGCCCAGCAGGGTGGTGAGAAAGGGACCTGGCTGTTGGCACAACTCATCCTTCCTTTAGCGCGTCTTGGTGGCCGGCCCCTCCTACTTACCTCTAGCTAACCAGCCATCCCTTCGTTCGTCCCTGCTGGCCTGTATCCACGCTGACCTGACTCGCCTTTGAGTGAAGTCTGTTGGAATAGATTCTGTGCTGCTGCTGCTGGCACTGCCTCCTCTGGCACCGTGGAAGCTCTTGAAAAGGCAGGTGCTTGCTGTGTCTCCTTCACTCCCGAGCTCTGAAAGCTAACAACAGAAGTGACCCAGAGAATTACAGGTCTAGAAGGGCCCTGTGGAAGGCCACTGGTCCAGCCCTCCGCCTTAAGGCAAGACCTGTCATCATTCATGTAGAGAAGATTGCTACATTTTAAAGCTCTGTCCTCTTCCCAAGAGATGTGTCCCATCACAAACACTCGTCTGTCCATCAACCTTCAGGCATTGGTTAAATATATATAGCTTATGTCTCTATCTTTGAACAGTTTCTTTTAAGATTTCAGCAGAGATGAATAGCAATTAGTTATTATATTTTGCAATAAATCTTTATATAAAAAATCACCTCTCATTTCTAGCTCAAATAACTCTAGGCCCTTTATTTAATCTTACTTCACAGGTGTTACTTTTAGTCTTTTTTTTTTCTCTCTCTCTCTCTCTTCTGAGTTTCCTCCAATATGCATTAAACTCTTCTCAGTGTGACCCCTTTCCTAATAACACCAGTAAACAAGGTCCCAAATTTTTTTCTCAATTATTGATTTTTGCTTACACATAGAGCTTTTGTACTATATTGGTGAACTACCAACAAAAAAAGTTAAACAATGATAGAAATGTAAATCCTTAGTTAACTGAAAATGAAAGATAAATATAAAAACTGTTTCACACAAGTAATATTATGACAAGGTCACATGCTCAGTTTATAAATGGCCTAACAAACAGCAAGCATACATAGATTTATGAAAATTCAGTTAAATAGTGAATGATTTGATGAAAGACTAAAATGTCACAACGTTACTTTTCAGAGAATGAATTCACTAATCGTCATGTTAGAAAATCAAGTTCAGAAACAAATCAAGCTAATAAAGCCTCTAACGTAAATTCCAGTTCTCACTAAGTAACTTTCCTTTGGCTTGCCCTGACCAGTGGAGGGATGGGCATGAAGTGTGGCGAGGCTGGTCTTGAGGAGGCTAGTCTTCATGGCCATCCCTCCACTGCATGTAGATACTTGTCTGTTGTGAGAACTCTTTACAACACAAGTCCAAAGCAAGCATATTCCATTGAAAGATATTATAGCCGTTTTTCTTTTTTTTTCTCCTGAACAACAGCCAGAGAAATACCATTTCATGGTACGGGGGTGACTATAAAGTTGATATTTACTTTTAACATTAGTTTAGTCATTTGACACCTATGCATTATAAAAGTGTTATAAACTGAAGTTTAAAATAAGTATATTTGGTTTAATAAATGCAGTTTGCTTTTATTTAAAAATATAAGATGAAAATAAACATTATTTTAAGACAGGTGAAACAGGAATTAAGTCCATGCAACTTATCTTCACTCCTTTGAAATATCATCTAAACTGACCAGGAAAGGAACAAAGGAGAAAGGAAGAAATACTATCAACTAAATCTTAGAATCTAGGAACAGATGGAAAAATGGTAACTGACTTAGAAGAGTGGGTAGACCTGAAACCCAGATTTACAATGGCAGAAGAGAATAAGAAGAAATCTAATTCTTACCACAGAATTCCAGAAATGATCAGGAATTAGAGTACCAGATCCTTCTAAAATGGAGCGTAAAATGATACATTAGAGGAACTTTGTTTTTTCTTTTTAGTTTGTATGTTTGTTTTTATTTTTTATTTATTTTTTCTTTATTAATTTTATTTTTTCCAAAATTTTTTTTTATCCACACCCGAGAACATTTTTTCATTCATCTTCAGACAGAACAGGAGGAAGAGAGAGAGAGAAACATCAATGTGAGAGAGACACATGGAGTGGTTGCCACCCACAAGATCCCAACCAGGCCAGGGACAAACTGCAACCGAGGTATGTGCCCTTAGCGGGAACTGAACCTGGGTCTCTCTGGTCCATGGGCCGATGCTGTAACCGTTGAGCAACACTGGCCAGGGCAATTTTTTTCAACTTTTATTAATTTGTTTTTGCTACAGATGTTTCTCTCCCCCCCCCCCCAACACCCTCTTCCCCATCCCTCCCTCCTCCCCCCAGCATTGTTGTCTATGTCCATTGGTTATACATACATGCATATAAATTCTTTGGTTTATCTCATCCATCCCCCTTGCCCCCCTCCTCTGAGGTTTGTCAGTCTGAACCATACTTCTTTCTATGTATCTGGGTCTATTTTGTTTATCAGCTTATTTTGTTCACTATATCCCACAATCATGTGGTATTTGTCTTTCCCTTATTGGCTTGTTTTGCTTAGGATAATACTCTTGAGGTCCCTCCATGTCATCTCAAAGGATAAGAGATATTTCTTTCTTATAGCTGCATAGTAGTCCATTGTGTATATGTACCACAGCTTTTTTATCCACTCATCTATTTATGGACACTTGAGCTGTTTCCAGATCTTAGCGATTGTAAATAGTTCTGCTATGAACATAGGGGTACATGCATTCTTTCTAATTGGTGTTTCAGGATTGTTAGGGTATATTCCTAGAAATGGGATCATTAGATCAAATGGCAGATCAATTTTTAATTTTTTTGAGGAAACACTATAATGTTTTCCATAGTGGCAGCACCAGTCTGCATTCCCACCAGCAGTGTACTAGAGTCCCCCTTTCTCCACACCGTCGCCAGCACTTGTTGTTTGATGATTTGTTGATGGCAGCCATTCTGGCAGGTGTGAGGTGATACCTCATAGTTGTTTAAATGAACTTTTCTAAAATATATGTTTTTATTAATTCTTTAGAGAGAGAGGAAGGGAAAAAGAGACAGAAACATCAATGTGAGAGAGAAACATCGATCAGCTGCCTCCTGCATGCCCTCCGCACCCCACTGGGGATCGAGCCTGAAACCCAGGCATGGGCCTTGACAGGGAATCAAACCGGGATTTGAACAGGGACCTCTCAGTTCAAGGGACAATGCTTAATCCACTGAGCCACACCAGCCAGGTGGTTGAATGTTTTTATAAGAAACTCTTAGCCTCTACATTTCTTCTACCATTTACAGCAAAAAACATACTTTCCAAACTCTTGGAGTATACTTAATCTTTGGAAATGAGGAACAAAAAATTATGTCTTAGATCACAAGGCCATATTGAAAACGGGGATTCATGCAATTCTATGTACTAAGCAGTGAGACTTCCAGGTCCATTAGGTTCCCAGAAAGCAGAAAAATATGCTTATATTTATTACATCTCTAACCAGGAAATTGGAGGGTTAATCACTGAGATAATCAAACAACTCAAACGGAGGGGACCTATGGATGCTTTTAGAATACGTTACAGTGAAGCCCATCATTGAACAGGCTCAGGGACCCAGTTTCTAATGAATGATTTTTGTGTGTCACTTAAACATGAATGGACAAGGTTCCATTCTGGTATGGCAGAGTAGCTGGTATGATTAACCCTCCTGCATATAACAACCGTAATCTGTGGACCAAGTATAAATAACATTTAAGTTATTTAAATGTGCAGAAGAATCACCAAAACCAGAAAACTGGAAATGATATAGTTCATGAAATAAAGGAACTCTTTGAATAAAATGCACACTGATTTGGCCTTTCCTGTGAGGGCTCTGCAGGCCGCACAACTCGTAGTAGCTTGAGGCATCAGAAAACAGAACTCAGGGCTAGCAGAGAGGCTAGAAATAGAGGAGGAAATTTCAAAAAGAAGGGACTGCAGTGGAGGAATCCAAAGATCTACAAATAAAGTGCTCAAATACTAGGATAACTTTTGAATTACACACATGTGTGAGAGACTCCAAGGAACACAGCAGAAAGCACAAAGCAATAACTGGAAAGTTGAAAAAGCTGAGAAGAAAGTGTAGCTGTTTTTCACTACAGAGAGACAAGGATCGAAGAATAAGTCCTGCCAAGCAAGTCTAACTGTGTTACAAGAAAGAAAGAAAGAAAGAAAGAAAGAAAGAAAGAAAGAAAGAAAGAAAGAAAGAAAGAAAGAAAGAAAGAAAGGAGGGAGGGAGGGAGGGAGGGAGGGAGGGAGGGAGGAAAAGAAAGAAAGAAAGAAAGAAAGAAAGAAAGAAAGAAAGAAAGAAAGAAAGAAAGAAAGAAAGAAGAAAGCTCTTCAAGAAGAAGATAACAGAATTCAGAATCTCAGCAGGGAATCATCGACAATCCAGTACATAAAACAAAGTAAAAACAAAACAAACAAACAACAACAACACCCACATCACCACCACCAACAAAAGACACTAGTATATGAAGTAGAAGAAAAATGTGAATCATGGTTAAAAAAAAATCAATCAATAAAAACCAACTCAAGATAATTCATAGGTTGTATTCATTGACAAAGGATTTAAAAGAGTGATTATAAATATGTCCAAATAGTTTAAGGAAAAGATAATCATAATAAGTGTACAGATGAGTAACCTTATCAGGGAAATAAAAACTATTAAAAAGAAATAATTAGAAATTAAAAAGTGAACAAGTAAACTATCTGAAATTTGGGGGGGCAAAACATTTAATGAGTTTACAGAAGAGTGCAGATTGCAGAAAAAAGGATGGGTGAAATTGAAGATAGAATATGGTACCCAACCTCCTAAATAGTTCTATCTGAGCTTTGCCTCCTGGTAATCATGTCTTCCTGAGTTCACCTACCCCACTAAATTAGGGTTGACCTATGTGACAAATAAAATATGGTAGAAGAAAAGGTGAGTGACTTCCAAGGTCATAAAAAAAGAGCAGATTCAGCCTTGACATCTTGGGTTGTGAATTCTGAAGAAAGCCAACTTCCATGGCATGAGGATACTCAAACAGACTCATGGGGATGCTTCTCTGAAGAGGAACCAGCTTGCTAGCCATGTGAGTGATCCAACATGAAAGTAGATTCCCCAGCCCCAATCAAGCTTTCAAATGATTACAACCCAGACCACATCTGATTACAACCTCATGAGAGGCCTGAGCTAAAGTGAGCCAACAGATGATTCAGAATTCTGAAATCACAGACTGTAACTGAGAAATTAATTA